CATCAAGTTGTTCCACGCCCTGCACATCAAGTAGCTCCATGCCCTGCACATCAAGCAGCTCCAAAACTTGTTGCTCCCTATTTGGGCGCCCCCTTTGGAGTTCCCTTGGGTGCCCTTCATAGGGGAGCTCCCCACGAGGGACCTCCACCTCCTTTTCCAGCTCCCTTTTCTCATGGTGGGGGCTTTCTTTTCCAAGAGGACAAGGGTGAGAACCAGAGCATGGAGCATGGAAGCCATTTCCAAGATAATTTCAAAGGAGCTCCCAACCACTGAGACGAAAAAATAAAAGAGGTACAAAATCAACTAGACGACATTTTCAACACTATGAAAGCACAGAGACCCGAGACAGTGGACTGCCTCGTAAGTCGAACCAACACACCCTTCGTACCTAACGTGACGAACTACCCACTTCCCAAGAAGTTTAAAATGTCATCCGTTGAAACCTTTGACGGTACGAAGGACCCACTTGATCACCTCGAAACTTTTAAGACCATGATGCAACTACACAGCGTCCCCGACGAAAATTATGTGTAAGACATTCCCAATTACCTTGAAGGGATCAGCGCAACAATGGTTCGCCAAACTCACCCCGTCCTCCATAGGCTCCTTCGCCGAACTGAGCAGATCCTTTGTGACACAATTCATTGGTGGACGCCGCCAGCAGCAGCCTGTCATCCATCTGCTCAGCATAAAACAGGATCATAATGAGAGTCTAAGGAGTTACCTCACTCGTTTTAACGAGGAAGTTCTCCAAATCGAGGAACCCAATGACAAAGTCGCCATGACTGCCTTCCTGGGAGGCCTCTGCTCATCCAGATTCCTTTTTTCAGTAATAAAGCAACCACCAAAGGGCATGCCAGAACTATTCACAAAAGCTCAAAGATATATGAATGCTGAGGAAATCAACAAGTTTAGGCAAGGTGAATCATCTCACAGATCACCAGAAACTTGACCTGCCTCTGCACTGTTCTCAAACAGGCAGTCTATCTCCAGTTTAGCGGCTCTCTCTGGGGTCGCCAAAAAACTTGGTCTCTGCACTGTTCTCAAACAGGCAGCCTATCTCTAGTTTAGCGGGTCTCTCTTGGGTCGCCAAAAAACTTGGTCTCTACACTGTTCTCAATCAAACAGGCTATCTCCAGCTTAGCGGCTCTCTCACGGGTCGCCAAAAAAAAATTTGGCCTCTGCACTGTTCTCAAACAGGCAGCCTATCGCCAGTTTAGCGGCTCTCTCACGGGTCGCCAAAAAACTTGGCCTCTGCACTGTTCTCAAACATGCAGCCTATCTCCAGTTTAGCGACTCTCTTTGGGATCGCCAAAAAAAAAACTTGGCCTCTACACTGTTCTCAATCAAGCAGCCTATCTCCAGCTTAGCAGCTCTCTCACGGGTCGTCAAAAAGATTTGGCCTCTGCACTGTTCTCAAACAGGCAGCCTATCGCCAGTTTAGCGGCTCTCTCACAGGTCGCCAAAAAACTTGGTCTCTGCACTGTTCTCAAACAGACAGCCTATCTCCAGTTTAGCTGCTCTCTTTGGGATCGCCAAAAAAAAAAAACTTAGCCTCTACACTGTTCTCAAACAGGCAGCCTATCGCCAGTTTAACGGCTCTCTCACAGATCGCCAAAAAAGTTTGGCCTCTGCACTGTTCTCAAACAGGCAGCTTATACCTCAAGCTTAAAGACTCCCTCATGGGTCTCCAAAAGCTAGGTCTCAAAAAGTGTAGCTCTCTCACGAGCAGTTCTCCAACTTTGTCTTTGCTCTCGCGCAAACAGCCTACTTCTCTCTTTCTCCAGATAATTATGTGAGATATTTTAATGTTTGGAATAACATTATTTTTGTTATCACAAACATGCTCTCCCGAGGTAGCCCCAGGCTCACCCAAGGCGCCCAACACCTGGAGAAGGGCTTGATCATCAAGAGCAGCACCCAAAGCTTCCTTACTACTTGCAATGTCTAGCCCAACGCCTAGAAGTGTGCCTGACTGCTGTTGCTCGTCAAAACAAAGTTGCCCAGTAGCTTGAAGGGTGTCTGGCCCTTCAAAATTGAGCAAAACAGAATTTTCGGCGCAAAAATCAGCACCTAAGGGGCCCAAATTAGCGCCTCGAGTGAGAATCGGATCAACCCGTGCTCCCAGGCCACTGCCTAGCTCCCCCTGATAAACCTTGGACTGATTTTCAGCGCCCTTGATGGAAAAATACTGCTGTCCAGCGTTCCAAAGCTGCCCAGCGCAGCTGAGCTGTCCGGGACAGCAAAAGCAGCAGCCAGGCTGCTGCCCAGCGCACCTGGGCTGTCTAGGACAGCAAGGCCAGCGCACAGGCAGCTGCCCAGCGCGCCTGGGCTGTCCAGGACTGGAGGAGCAGAGCCCAGGCAGCCGCCCAGCCCCCCACCGCGCGCGCGCGAGCTGCCCAGCTGCGCGTCCAGCGCGCCTGGGCTGTCCAGTCGCACGCACAGCCTTTTTTCTTCGCTGCCCAAGCCACTCCTCGCGCTGCCCATCTCCCCTTCGTTGTCCAGCCCTTCATTTACAGCCCCAAAGCTGTCCAAAACAGCATTCGAATGCTCAAAACCAGCCTCCAAGTTCTCCAAAATGGTGCCTACTTCTTCCCTTTCTTCAACCTCCACCACTCCCTCTTCAAAATAAAATGAGAAAGACTTGAAGTTTAAAAAAAAAAAAAAGAATAATAATAATAATAATATAGTCAATGCCTCCTTCTCTAAGTCTCATTGGACATGGGGCATTGGGGGGCAAATGATGGGTTAAGCCCAAATAGTCCAATTTATATGTTAAAGTCCAACTCCAGTTGAGGAGCTCAACCTCATTTTGAATCTACCAAGCCCAAGACAGTCCAAGACCGGTTAGACTTTTTGCTTAGCACGTCATCAAGAGGAGAGCATGAGAAGCTTATCTGCACCACCGAAGGAAACGGTCCAAGTTTTGACCACGTTTCATGAAGAGCTCCCCAACCTCCTCCTTCCGTTGAGGATAGGTTATGATCTCCACCAGAATGATCTTTTAGTGCGATAAAGTAACCTTGAAGATAAGTCATGATCTCCACCAGAGTGATCTCTTAGCTGCGATAAAGTAGCCTTGAGGATAAGTCATGATCTCCACAAGAATGATCTCTTAGCTGCTATAAAGTAGCTCCAATCTGTGAGAAGCCAAAAAAAAGAGATGAAGGTCACGCCCCACTAACACTTACAGAGGACTGACCGACGACCGGAGACTACTCATTTGATTCTCCATTCTCTCAAAGCTTGTATCTCTATTCTCCATACCTCTAAATTAATAAAATACCCGGCAACTGAAGCCATTGAAGAGTGGACGGAGGTCGAATTGACCGAACCACTATAAATCGTGTCTTCTTTAATTTTTTCATTGATTTCACTGCATTTATTACCTACACTTGACAGGTGGTGTGCAAAATTATTTTTGTGCATAATCAATAATCACCCTTGGGGCCATACAAAATCAAGATAGACATAGGCTGCTTGGCCGAATTATTGGCTCAACATGTCAAAATTGTCACCTTTGCCAGTACACGCCAAAACGCTGCCCAACTTTCAAAGTTCAAATTAACTATTGATTGTGCTGTTGAATCAACCTTTCAGATCAGACTAGTAACTTAGTATCAGACGATGTGCACAGGATTCTTGACAGATGAAGAAATTGAACATGCCGAAAGATTGACAAAACAGTAGCGCGACTTAATAGATGGCTGACTTGGCCGGAACGTATAAACGGAAAAATCTCATAACAAAATATTTTATAATCAATTATAACATAACTGATATTTTGAACCATTAAATAAAAACACGGACTCTTTTCCCATCGCTAATTGAATTAAAGAACAAATATTCCATTGAAGAGTAATGTTATTTAAACTTAAAAATCTGACTTAATTTATTAACATAATAATGTGACTTAATAGGAATCATTGGATCAACACAAAGTTCTAATGTTTAATAGAATCTATCGTCAATCCAAATATCACAATAAATTAAATTAACAAATTAACTCAAATTTTTAGATTCTAATAGCATTGCTCTCCGTTGAAACATGGTTCTCGGTTTGACTACTACAGAAGTTAATATCCTCCACAAAATGTTAGACCAGCTGTCTAAGGGAAAGAATTTTATGCATAAGTCAAACTTTGACCCCTCAATTATGGTCCTGTCTGTTATAGTTCCTTCACTTGTCTTATTTTTTGCAATGGTACCTTAAATTATAGTTATTAATTTCCCACTATCAAAAGATTAACGCCCACCAAAATTTTAATAGTAACTTGTCTTGCTATGACCATCGAATTAGGTGAACCTTTTCCACCCAACAAGTAAAGAGTGATTGTTTTTAGATCAACGTGAAACCAATTCAAGTGTAGAGGAGAAAATATGAGAAATCCAACAGTTCAATGAACAAAGTAAAATTAATACCAAAGTTGATGGGGTCAAAAGGTATTGTTTGTGATTCCTATGTGCGGCTGTGGTATTTAATACCAGCTATAGTCTAGAGCAGGAAGCACCACCATAACTAGGGAGAATTGGCTTGTATTTGGAAGTAAGAAATATAAGGCCACTCCCACAATCCTGATTCTCAGACTTCGATGGCTTCTCACACTCAACAGCTTCACTTTGTATTGCTTCCTTTAATGGCTCCTGGCCACATGATTCCCATGGTAGACATTGCCAGATTGTTGGCACAGCGCGGCGTTCTCGTCACCATAGTCACAACACCCCTCAATGCTAACCGATTCAAAACAATCATCGCCCGTGCCACGGAAGCTGGACTCCAAATTCGAGAAATCCAACTCCAATTTCCATGTGTAGAAGCAGGGTTACCAGAAGGGTGTGAGAATTTTGATATGCTCCCTTCAATGTTCGCTGCAGGCAAATTTTTAGACGCAAGTGGGATGCTACAAGGGACAGTAGAAAAATTGTTAGAAGAGTTAAAACCCCAAGCAAACTGCTTAATTTCTGACAGGTGTCTCCCATGGGTGACTAATGTAGCCCACAAGTTTCATATCCCAAAACTTGTTTTCCCTGGATTTGGTTGCTTCTCTCTCTCTTGCATGCACCACTTGCAGGTCTCCAGAGTATTTGATGATATTAAATCCGAATCAGGTCACTTTTTGGTGCCTGGCCTGCCTGACCCAATTGAACTTACTATAGCAGCGGTTACGGGCTGTGTCAAGACAAACCCATCTGGTCCAAGAGATGTGCGGGATGACATCAGAGAGGCTGAAGAAGCATCATATGGGTTTGTGGTTAACACTTTCCAGGAGTTAGAGACAGAGTATATCAAAGAATATGCCAAGGCAACAGGTAAAAAAGTGTGGAGTATTGGTCCAGTTTCACTCTGCAACAAAGATAATATGGATATGGCCGCAAGAGGTAACAAGTCTGCTATCAATGAAAACCATTGCTTGAATTGGCTCGACTCATTCGAGCCAAGGTCTGTACTCTATGCCTGTCTAGGAAGCCTATCGCGCCTAGCAACTTTGCAGATGATAGAGCTCGGGTTGGGTCTAGAGGCATCAAACAAACCCTTCATATGGGTTCTCAGGCATAAATCGAATGATTTTGAGAAGTGGATTGTGGAAGAAAAATACGAGGAAAGGATCAAAGGGAGAGGACTTTTGATCCATGGTTGGGCACCACAGGTACTGATATTGTCTCACCCTGCAATTGGGGGGTTTTTAACTCATTGTGGGTGGAACTCTACGCTAGAAGGGGTGTCTGCTGGTGTGCCAATGATAACGTGGCCAGTGTTTTCGGAACAGTTTATGAATGAAAAATTGATTGTTCAAGTACTGGGGATTGGAGTGAGGGCTGGTGTAGAGGTTCAAGTTAATTTTGGGCAGGAAGAAGAGATTGGAGTGTTGGTTGAGAAGAATGTAGTTAAGATGTGCGTTGATGAGTTGATGGGTGAAGAAGAGGAAGCTGAAGAGAGAAGGAAACGAGCTAGAGAGCTGGGAAGAATGGCAAAGATGGCAGTAGAAGAAGGAGGCTCTTCTCACACCAACATGACACTTTTAATCCAAGATATCCTGGAACAATTAAACCATGGAGAGTCTATCACAAAGAATGGTACCAAGTAAATTAGCAAGTCCGAGGTTAACATAAAAATAAGAATGAGTTTACAATTTAATTAGACGAAGTTACGACCAAGTAGAATCGGAACTTGATTATGTGTTGTAATTGATCCTTTTGAATTGTAACTTGATCTGGAATAAGTTATAATTGATCCTTCTTTCCTTGTAAGCTAATATACGGAATAGGGTGAAGTTCCATTAAATAGGTAGAACTGAAACTTTACATATTTTCTACTAGTGTTAACACAGAATTTTACTCATCTCAGGCTCATGTTCCATTGACTCAGGGTTTCAGATCAAAGCTCTAGAACTTAAATGTCATCTGTTGAGTCCGGCTTTTTTTTTTTGTTTTGACCAGAAACTCATAGCAACAACGTAAATTTCAGATTCACACAATCACCTAGAAACTCATGTGATACATAAACCCATTGAACAATGTTTGATGGGTGGCAACACATTCGAGTTGCACAACTATGACAGTAATTTTACATAGTCCCAACATGTTTTGGATTCCAAGACAGTTCACAGAATATGCAAATGATACTCGATAGTTGATAGGCATAAACGAAATAATTATCCTCTCTTTCAAGGAACATTGTGCTTTCAATATCGATACATGGTTAAAAAAATTTTAATTTGTGATTCGGATCTTTTTCACATGATTGATACTGTGAGTGCATTAGGATATTAAGATTATGCTAAGAACTACATGTGTGCTTCTCTGTTCTTTTCTCGGGCACTGGCTGGCGTGCATATTAAATTGGATCGAAATTCTCCCCTATACACTTTTTACAATCATCCTCAATCTCGTTGTGGAGTAGTGATGGATCCATTTATGTGTAAGGAGTTCTAGTAAAATTCATAATGAAAGAATGTCTACTGGAGTGATTCAAATCTTAGAAGTCAAAGTTCCATTTCACTTTAGAAGCTTCCGTTCCATGCCTTGATGCCACTAATTCCATGTGAACATACCCACCATAGGGATCGCAACCTCTGAAATCCACTGAAAAATAAATAAATAAAAATTTACCTCCTAATAAGTTTGCATGCTACTTCAGAAAATATCTTTTCTGCGTACAAACCACATGATCCTTGCATAATGGTTCACATGCTTCTGTAAGTTCTAAGAACAGCTTGTCAGGGAGTGGAAGCACCCTTTGGAGAATTGGCTCTATTAGGCCACCCTGCAAATCAGGTTCTCCAGTAGCTCCCTATACTCCCCCAATTCCATGGCTTCTCAATCCCTAATGCTCCACACTTTGTTTTGTTTCCTTTCATGGCCCAAGGCCACATGATTCCCATGGTAGACATTGCCAGATTGTTGGCACAGCGTGGCATTCTCGTCACCATAATCACAACACCCCTGAACGCCAAAAGATTCAAAGCAACCTTCACTCGGGCAACAGAAGCTAAGCTCCAGATTGATGTAATTCAACTTCAATTTCCAGGTGTAGAAGCAGGGCTAAAAGAAGGGTGCGAGAATGTTTATATGCTTCCTAAAATTGATGATGCAGCTTATTTTTTTGCCGCAACTGCCATGCTACAACAACCAGTGGAAAATTTATTTAAAGAGTTAAAATCACCACCAAGCCATGGACAACTAGTATTGCTCATGAATTTCATATCCCAAAACTTGTTTTCCATGGATTTGGTTGCTTCTCTCTCCTGTGTTTACACAACTTGCGTGTCTGAAAGGTGGTTGATCATATTCACTCTGAATCAGAACACTTTGAAGTGCCCGGCATGCCTGATCGAATTGAACTGACTAAAACACAGATTTCGGGCATTCTCAAGCCACACTCATCTAGCATGTTTGAGGTTGCTAGAGTGATTGAGGTTGGTGGTGGTCACTTCCACAGTCGTTGGTCCTTGCCATTGCATGAGTGGTAGCTCACACTCAAAAATCGTCGGATGAGTGTCGGGGGTGATCATCTCGTCGACGTAGTGGAATGGTGGTGGTCTTTAATGTCTTATTATTTTGAATTATGTCCTAGCTTTTGGTCCAATTACCCACTTATATAGCTCGTACTTACCAAACATAAGTATAAATTATTTAGTGTAATCATTCAATAATAAGAGAGTATGTGGGCAAGTGAATCTCACATGGAATAGTTATTACATTATATTTATATGTTATTTTTATTATATCCCTTTTACTATGAAATTAATTTTATTTTATCCCTTACACTATAAATTTTTTCACATTATCCCTCAACTACTTAAATTATTTCACATTGTCCAAAACATAAGCGTCCATTATTTTTTTGGAAGGAAATTACTAACGTGTCGGGAAAAAATAATATAAGTTAATACAAAAATTATTTCATTCGGTGTATCTTCTTTGTTCAAAAGTAGAAGACAAATTTATAGGCAAAATACATAACTCTATTGTATTATCGGTAAGAGTGCAAGTATACACAAGTGTAGTCATCCATCTTCTAATCTAATCATGTGTCAATGTCGTTAAAACACTATTTGATGCTATGTGTCACTGTTTATATATAGTAGTCATTCAAATCATAATAATATTTATAACAATTAGAACAAAATCATCCATTTATGATTCAAAACAACTTTCGGAACTTGACTTCTATAAATTGTTATGATTTGAAGCTTTTAAATAGAATTAGGATTCATTTAATATACAATAAGATGGAGGCAAGTAACATTTGGTGCAACCCAATAACCTGCTCTATTAAGAGCTCTTGGCTCGTGTTAAAATTTTAAATTTAGGGCTCTAGAGAGGTGCCCAATGTCTTCAACAAAGGTGAAGATTTTTCAGGAAAAATTCCTTCCGTTGAGCCCAGTTTGATGACTTTCTATATAAAAGAATTTTAAAAAATACTAGTTGACATGTCATATAAATTTAAAAAACACTTGGTAGGGAAATCTATATAAAAAAACTCAAATAAAAGTTAACGAATACTCATAACAAAGTATATTTTGACAAAATTTTAAATTAATTTCAAACAAAGCGTTACAAATAAGACTTTATTATTATGTAATGAAACTATTTATTTTTAATCGAAAAAATGAATTCCACGCCATACTATATTGTATAAAACTCTTATATAATGCAATTTCATTGGTCGGCTTTCAAATCACATCCATTCATGTGGGACTTCCCCATTGTCCATATACATCAACCCAGAAAGTAGGTCCAGATAAATACTAGATTAAGGTGGCATCATACAAAAATAATAATTTTTTAAGATTAAGTTATAATTTTTTTTTCTTGTAGTAATTATAATTTTTTAAGGTTAAATTATAATTACATTGTACAAAAAATTATACTAACTTTTGATACAATACCAAATTTTCTTTTCGGTACCTTAGTGCTATCGATCAAGAGATTCTATCTTACATAATGCAAGTTTTTATTTTTTATTTTTTTCCAGTAAGTCATTGTTACAAAGGAGGGGACAAAAAGATTTGAACCTGCAGTTTTAAGATTTAACAATAGTGACAATGGTCATTAAGTCAACCGCTAATCTCATATTGTAAGTTTAATGACCAACCTTCAAATTACATCAATTTATGTGGCTCCAATATCTTCTTACGATTGTATGGTGGTCCATATATATCAAGCCCATAAGATAACCAATTTGTGTACATTAGTGGAAGGATTAGAGAACATTGTCCACCAAGTAAGATTTAATTTATTATTATTGGATTGATTGTGAGTTTCAATATTAATTACAACCCATCACAAATCGATGCTAGAGTGATGTTGTGTTTGATAAAATTGAAAATTAAGTGTTGAAACTTGAATGCTAAATTTTAAACTTTTAATCTGTAAACCGCTTGGTACCACTAAAATTTAAGTGTTGGGTTGAGTCAATCTATTTGTCAAATGTAAGGAGCTAAAGTCTAAAAACTGTTATTATTCTAATTTTGTCTTTTTTTTACCGTCTCTCTATAACTACTTTAATCCTACTACCACCATCATTATTATTTCACAATCACCACCACTACCTTACACATATCACTGCTACCACAATCACCACCCTACCATCACCTTCTCCACCATCCCATCATCACCTTTTACACCATCGTACTATCGGTAACCTCACCCTTGATGCTGTTATTACCTCCTCTAACATCACTCTCCCATCACTCGATGTCACTTACTATGCTACAACTGTTGCCACCATCCATCCACCATTAGCATCCAACCATTACTAACACACCCAATCCCCCCAAACTACTTATTACCGTTGCCTTCATCACTTAACCACAACTACTACCTTTACAATCTGCCACCTTCACACAACCACCGTTGCCACTAAAATGGTAGTTAGGGTAAGTTAGTATTGGTCAGACTTATGGTAATGGTGGTAAAGGAAAACGTTGATGGTAGAATGGTGGGAATAAGTAGTGCTGGTAAGGGTAATGGGGTGGTTTGTGGTTGAATGTTGACAACGGTGAGGAGTAATAATGGAGATGACAATAGCAATAATTGGGATTTGGTTGTTTGGTAATGGTAGCGGGGGCAGTGAAATGTTATGTAGGCATGCTGAAAGCAATAGTGGAAGTGTGTATGTGGTAAGGTAGGGTGATGGAGTAATGGTGGTGTGGTTGTGGTGGTAAATAATGGAATAATGGTGCGTTTCGGGGGGGGGGGGGGGGGACAAGGTAGTTGGTGGTTAGGATAGCAGCGATGGTGCTACAATGGCGACGATGGGAGTGGTGGCAATGCAGGTAGTGAAGACAATGAGGTCGTAATGACATACATGGTGGAGGTGGTATAAAGGTGAGTGATGGTAAGAGGGTGACAGTGGTGGTGACAGCAGTAGGGCTGGTTATGGTGGGTGTTGGCGGTGATAGATGGGTTGTGGTGGTAGGGTGGTGATGGTGGTGGCGGTGGTGATAAAGGTGATGGGATGGTGGGTGTTGAAAAGTTAAGAGTGTAAAATAGATTGAGATCAAATTATGTAAGTATAATTTATTCATTATGATATATCTATAAAATTATTACTGATTAGCATTTTCAGCATTAAGTGATAAGTATGTGGTGGGGTTTGAGAAAACTAAAAACTAAACACTGAAAATTGAATGTTGAATTTTTAGTGTTGAATGCTGAATTTTTTAATTTACATATTGTTTGGTATCAACTGAAATTTAAGTATTAAATTGAATTAAAGTGTTTAACAAATATAAGGAGCTGAAGTCTAAAAACTATTATTATTCTAATTTTTTTCTTTTTTTTAACCATCTCTCCACAACTATATTATTCCTACAACCACCTTTGTGATGGTGGTGGTGGTGGCATAATGGTGATGGTGGTGATGACATAATGGTGGTGATTGCAACAGTGATGATGGCAATGGTGGCGGTGGCACAATGATAATAGTGGTGATGACGACATAATAGTGGTGATAGTGGTAGTAGTGATGACAATGGTGATTGGCGTGGTGGTGGTGGCACAATGGTAGTGGTGTTGTGGCAGTGGGGATGACACAATGGTAATGGTGGTGGGGGTGATACAATAGTGGTAGCTGTGGTGACGGTTAGTGTTGGTGGTGGTGACGATGACACAATAGTGGTGGCGGTGGATATTGAAAAGTTAAGAGTGTAAAATGTATTGAGAGCTTATTTGTCCATTATGAGAAATTAATAAAATCCTTATTGGCTAATATTTTTTGCATGGAAGTGATAAGTAGGTGGCTTGCTACTTAAAATTTTAACCTATTTTTAAGAAGTGCTTAAAATATTAAGTGGTATAAGTTTTAAATTATCAAATAGGTTTAATTCATTAAATGCTTAAAATATTCAATTTTAAATCTTAAGTGGTGTTATCAAACAGAACCTTACTATTTAAAATTCTAGCCTATTTTAAATAGATGCCTAAAATTTTAAGTGATGCAAATTTTGGTTATCAAACATGCATAATTAAAAAGGTACTGCATATCTTTTGTTTTAAGTGTTGAATTAGGTTATCAAACACCACTTTAAGCTCAAATTATGTTACCATCCACCCTAAATAGCTCCGGGGACAAGCCAAATACTTCTTCCATAAATGTCTATATGTTTCTGTTGAATTTAATACCATCTATTCTAGACACTGGATCTGTGAGACCACCCTTAAAACTAGATTCTACAGAACCTGACTCCTTGTATACTCAATAACTTTCATGGCTCCTCAAGTCCCAAAGCTTCACCCTTGGAATTGTTTCCTTACATGGCTCAGGGCCACATGATCCTAGTTGTGAGATTCACTTAAAAATTGGGCGGATAATCGAACTGAGATTTGCGAGGTCGAGCCTAACTTGTCGAGCTCTTTTTTTAAATGAGTCTTAAAAATTTTTCAAACTTAGCTCGCTTAGAGAATGAGTCGAGCCCAAAACGAGCCGAACCTAAGTCGAGCTTTCTAAGATCATTTTCAAAACGAGTCTAAAAAATTGTTCAAGCTCGGCTTATTTAAAATACGAGCCAAACTCGAGTAGAGTCATATCTGAGCCAAGCCCGAATAGCTTGACTCAATTATCAACCCTACTTAAAATGTGACTCTCTTCAATGATAGGGGATCAAGATTTAGCACCTCTCTTAATTTAAACTTTAAAGTAATTAGAGGGTCTTTCATTACTTTTAAATGACGAAAACACATCAACAAAATCCTTAAATTTTGTTTTTTTTGCCTTAAAATGGTCTATGAATTTTCAATTGTCTCAACTTTCTCTCAACTATCAATTTCATCTCAATTAAGTTATTATGTCAATTTTAACTGTTATAGCAAACGGTGGCATATGACGTGGATGACCACATGACAACCATCTGGCTTGCCTCTGTTGGGTATAATGATTAAAATTAATTGAATGCCTTAATTGACATAAGATTGATAGTTGATGGACTAATTGTAATATTTATCTTCTTATTTTTCTTTCCTTTTC